TGTGGGAACGAGCGGGCGGAGTGCGTCGGTGTGTAGCCCCGAGCTAATTAGCTGAAATCACGGTTAGCTTATTGAGCTTAGCTCCGTGCTGCTAGCTGCCATTACACCCACACACCGAAGTTTGTCAGCCCAACAAAGTTCACCGAGAGCGGGGCGAGAGTGGTGCGGCCTCGCGGGGAGAGGCTGTGACCCAGAGAGAAAGAAACACGGGCCATTATCCCACACACACTGTGGTAAAGTAATAAGTCAGTGTTTTCAGCCTCCCCCCCACCACACCGCACGCACGCACATTCTGAGTGAGTGATTCAAAACAAGGAAGGACAGAAACATAAAGATCAGGCTGCTTTCATTCAGCCAGTGATCGATTAATCAATCGGTGCCAGTTTCAGCTTATCATCTGTCAGTTATTTTATTGATTAATCAGTCAGCTGCTCCAGAGATCTTCCTTCAAAAATCAGTGTGCTCTATAAGGGAACCGTTTAAACTCTTCTGCCAGGAAATTCTTCGTTATTTATTGATAAACAGGCTAATAATTATCTGAACGACTAAGTCAAAGGATCTGTGGGGGTTTGGAATATTGATTAGCTGATTATTATAGGTTATTGAGATTTCTTATATTGATCGATCAACTCTGGGATGTCGACATTTACAATCCTCCTTCCTCAGTTTATTTTAGTTTATCTTCCTCATCTATAGCTTGATTTAACATCAAACCCATCAGACTGACACGGTTGGGTGAAATCAGTCAGATCAATATCAGCCAGTCTATTTTCTAATCAGTAAAAAAAATGGTGTTTTTTCATTTAAATTCAGACTTCATCCATTTATTGATTACCAATCATTTGTCAATTACCTGATTGGAAGAGAAAGAGCTGGCTGATTAATCCGATTATTAGTTGATTAAAGGTTTTTAATGTTTAAATGTTGGGACATTTGGTTGTAAGATTGAAGATTTGAAGGTTGATTGTAGAGTGACAGATTAAAGGAAAAACAGTGAGGTCAGGAGACTATCATCGTGGTTTCCTGCTGTTCACCCCGACTCTTCACCAGACACCATTCAGGAAAACAGGACTTTTACCTGAGAGAACAGGCGAGCTCCGGCTCTGCCCCTGTCCCTATTGCTGTGATGCAGGGTCTGTTTGGATCACAGGTAATTCAGCGTGAAAAAGTGGCCGACTCGGCAGAAACTCGAGTTTCCTGCCAGGTATAATCTGTTTTTGTGAATGGACATAAACATGGACGTTATATTTAATCCCACACTGAGGAAAATTAACTGCAGCACAGGAGATGGGAAGAAAAGGTGAATTACAAAAATAAAATAGGAATAGAAAAAAAATAAATCAGTAAATTGGTCCACGGAAAGGCCAAAATACTAACACGCCAACATGAAGACGCTGTGAACCTCCAACCTTCTGCTTACCCGATGGATCAGTGCTGTGAGATGTTTTGGCTCGCGTGTTCCCGTCGTCATGTTTAGATTTATTGATAATAACTTATCTGGATATTGATCAGTCCCCGAATCTGAACCCTGTTTTGGATAAAACTTCAAAATGCCGAAACTCGTTAAAGCAGTTTAACCCACAGAAACTAAACCGAGTCACTCGGACCTTCAAAATAAAAGCATAAAAATCGTCTGTAAAAGTTTGTGATGCGCTCAGATTAGTGTAGATGTTTTTAATCTTCATGTGTCAGATTTTAGATGAAGGCGATGTGGTCATCGAATTTTGCTAATTTTGGGCGACGGTGGGCCACGCCGTCGCCCGCTGGGTTGACCCAGTGTGACCGCACTGAGGTGGAGCTGATGATTTCAGACACACTTGACTGCTCTGCAGCTGAAAACAATGAAACTAAACCTGGTTATTGATTATTGATGACTGAAGCAGCTACGGTAAGGCTAGGTAAAGTTTTTTTTCTTTTCTGAAGCTGGTCAGAGGCTGTTTTAAGATCATTTTCCCTTTTCTTGGACAGTGACACGTATGTGTCAGCTATGCTTCCACCTGTAAATAAAAATGACGGCTTTATAATCGTTTCCTGTTTGAGTCCAGCTCAAGCGAAGGCGCCGGCTCACGGGGCGGGGCTGTGTGTCGGGCAAATGATTAAAGTGAGTAAAGCCTTGAACGCCCTCACACGCTGAAGCTGTAAAACAATAAGTTTATTTGTTAAGCTGAGCTTCACTTGCGTGATCTGGATGTGGCCGTGGTTTCCTGCAGCTCCCAGTGCGTCTGCAGAAAGCACCGTCTCAGGTTTAGAAACCAAACAGGTGAATTATGATTATTTTTAATTTGACAGTTTTTTCTCCATCCAGTAAAATCATGAAAACGAATTAAAGAATTCATTTGAATGAAAAGAAGATGGAAACTTTAAAATCCAATCTCATTAAGAACAACGGACCAATGACAGGCAGCCGTCAGACGTAAACAGTTCAGCCTGGATCATCAGAGCTGCGTCATTACAGCAAAAATGATTTCAGGAGTAATGATTGATGCTGTGTTTGAGTGTCACAGGATGTGTGATGCACCCTCTGCCAGCAAATCAATGACTGTGTGACGGCTCTGAAAACATGAGACGCGCTGCGATCGGTGATTGAGCCGATCGGGGACATTGATCCGAGCATTGAACTATGTTTTAGCCTCTTTAAACAGTTTTTTGTGGAAGGATGATTTTAGAGCGTTTTTGTCTTTAAGAGTAATCCGGCAGCTTGAAGTGGGGTGCTGCAAGCTGGAGACTGCGTAACAATCCATTTAAAGCATAAATAATTTGTTTAATTAACAGGAGCACTGTTATGACGAAAGAGAAAAACGGCAGCAGAAAAACAGAAGGGTCAGAGGTCACGGCACCTTATCGTCAGACTGGACAGAAGAAATGAGGAAGCGTTGAGCGACGGGGTCAGGGTATCAAAGCGAGCTACATCTGACGTCCTCATGAATGCCTGTCGTATTATTAAGGTGACAGTAAGACGAGTGAAGCCAAACTCTGTTTTATGATCAACTTCTTTAACACCAAATGTCACCTGGAAATCATCAGAACAAATAATGCAGAAAACAAACAAACAGCTGTTGATGATGCAGAGTGACGTCAGAGGGCAGAGTGACGTCAGAGGGCAGGGTGACGTCAGAGGGCAGAGTGACGTCAGAGGGCAGGGTGGCGTCAGAGGGCAGAGTGACGTCAGAGGGCAGGGTGACGTCAGAGGCAGAGTGACGTCAGAGGCAGTGTGACGTCAGAGGCAGTGTGATCTTTTATTGACGTCTTTTATTTTGGTGCACTGAGCCTCACCTGCTGTTTCTTGTGCAGAGCTGCTGTTCCTGTTTGACCCCTGACGGCTCTGAGGATGGAAGCAGGGCTACCGGAGGCAGGATCTAGGTGAGTCCACCAATCGGGGAGCAGCGTGCGCGCGTCGTCTGGGTGCTGCCATGTTTCCTCACGTGCCTTCTCCTTGCTGCAGACATCAGATGGTGCTCTGAAGAAGCCATGGGTAGCTGCCTAAGCTGTCCAGAGAAAGAGTCGATTCCAGATAATCATCAGAGTAAATTCAAGGTGAGTCCTGCCCCGGCCTGCCTCACCTGTACTCCCACACGTCCCGTCGCTCGCTCATTACTCACAGCCCTGCTGCACACCTGCCGACGTGTCTCCACGTGAGGGCGGCCGATGGGTGAGCAGGTTGGGCCGTGGGCGGAGCCTCGGCTCCCACAGCTGTAACAGCAATGGGCTGTAAGTCTAAACGGGTTTATGCTGGGAAATGAGTCAGAGATCAGCTGATCTCAGAAAAGGGAGGAGAATTTTCAGGTCACGTGGTTAAAGTTCTCGTCCTCTGATCGCTCAAATCATCAAGAATTTATGACCAGCAGGCAGGAGGTGATTGAGAGGGCGCAGGCTCTCCGGGTCACAGTGGTCTCATCCAAATTTTTGAGTGTACTGTCCCTTTAAAGAGACATGAAACGCTGCACATATAAAGGCTGATTCACACCACTGAGCGCTGCTCTTACAAACTGGTATAACGCCGTGTGGTTGGTTGCAGCTAACAGAATGACATGTGATGTCACAGAGTGACAGCAGCAGTAACGGGTATGTTTGCTGTCTCACTGCATCGTAAACAAAGATCCGCCATGTGGTGCTTAAATAAAACTTCAGTCTGTGGAGACGTTTGTGATGTAGAAGGTCCTCGGGCTTAAATGAGCAGCTGCAGGGTGCGGAGGCACGACCTCCGTCAGTTTTTAGGTGGCGTTCGATGTTTGTTTGGCCGTGAGAAGTTCACGTCTTGTGTTCAGCATGAAGACGGAGCACGCTCCGTTAAACTCATCCTCAGGATTAAGACTCACTGATTTCTGCAGATGTCTGCTGATGGCGTGGTGCCGGTAAAGGCGTGAAATGTCAGAGGTCATGACGCTCTCTCTCTCTGCCCGTCAGGTGATCAATGTGGACGACGATGGGAACGAACTGGGCTCGGGAGTGATGGAGCTGACCGACGCCGAGCTCGTCCTCCATACGCATCGCCGCGATGACGTCAGGTGGCCTTATCTGTGCCTGCGCCGCTATGGCTACGACTCTAACCTGTTCTCGTTCGAGAGCGGCCGCCGCTGCCAGACGGGCCAAGGTAAGAATCCGTGTGTGCCAACAGGAAATGAGGTCACCACAGGATCGTGTGTGTGTGTTGATTAAAGGTGTTTCTTGTTTCTGGTCTCTGCCTTGCTATGATTCGCTGTCAGGAGAAGGGGTGTAGGAGGGGCCGTTAGGTCAGGTCACCTAGTAAGTCTCAGCAGAATTTCCTTTGTCCTGCCCCGCCCCCGATCAGCTGTCGGTGGAAGAGCGTGTGGATCAAAACCTGCCTGCAGTGTGTGTGGTGCGTGAGCCACCTGGTTTTGGTTCCTGTGAGGAGTCAGCAGAACCACCAGAATGATCCAGATCAATAGAAAACCAGCTGATCTGGATCATTCTGATAGTTGATCAGCAGCTCCTCCCACCGCTCAGCGACCATCGAGGGAACGTCTCTGAGATGTAGGAGGAGCTAAATTTTCACTTGAGTGATTGTAGATCATGAGCATCACTCATCCAGAGC